CCTAAACCCAGGAGGAAACTGTACCGTGGAGGCCCCAGCTGATTTACCTGAGTGCCCCCCAGCTAGTGCCTTAGCTGGGACAGGAATGTAGGTCTCCTGGCTCTTGGTTCAGGCCACTTTAGACTCCACGGGGATAAAATGAGCAGTCAGCAGGAGGAGCCTATGAGCTTGAAATTCACAGGCCCAACAAGGCCTGTGCCAAGCAGTAACTTTATGAAAGGGAAGTTATTCTGCCATCCCCACAGAGAGAGGACATGTCTTTATTAATTAAGCACATTTGTACAGTCAGCCAAAGAATGAAGGAAAAATTAGTATTCCGTCATTTGGAAGTTTTGTAAAGGAACATCTTGTTCAGCCTATAAAACAATGCATTAATCTTCTGTCCTATATAGGAAAGGCATATGTTATTTTAAAAAAGTAAGTTAGGGTGTGAGGAATTGACAAGTTTCCAACTCCACTTGGTAACACTTTGCAGGAAATCTGGCCTGGTCCAGGAGCTCCTCTAGGCTGAATGGTATTGGCATTAAGCCTGCAATTCATGTATGCTGTCACTAAGTGGTGGTAGGGATCACAGCCATGTGGTCCAAACATACAGTCACAGAGCTTCCTTGTTCTTCTTTTTCCCCCTAAAACAACAGACAAAAGATTTTAGAGATCTTTTACCCTTCAAAGGGTTAAAAACCAGGGTTGTGAATGATAGTTGCATTTTTTTCCTCAGGGATAGATAATATTATATACTTCAAAAATGAAAAGGTGTTGCGCGTGGTGGCTCACGCCTGTAATCCCAGCACTTTGGGAGACTGAGGTGGGCAGATCACGAGGTCAGGAGATCGAGACTATCCTGGCTAATGCGGTGAAACCCCATCTCTACTAAAAATACAAAAAATTAGATGGGTGTGGTGGCGGGTGCCTGTAGTCCCAGTTACTTGGGAGGCTGAGGCAGGAGAATGGCGTGAACCCGGAAGGCGGAGCTTGCCACGAGCTGAGATTGCGCAACTGCTCTCCAGCCTGGGCGACAGAGAGAGACTCTGTCTCGAAAAAAAAAAAAGGAAAAGGAAAATCACTGAAAAGTTTTCTTGTCACCCCCGCTCCAGACACTACTTTCTTTCATAAGGGTGATCAACATTTTTCACTTTCCTGTGATCCTTCCAGAAAGGCTTTATGATTGTATATGAGCATTTATAGGCTCACTCTTTTTTCCTTTTTCCTTTTTTTACTCACATGGTGGCATACTACACACATCTTCTGCCCTTTGTTCTTTCACTTAGCAATTATCTTGGAGAACTTTATTATGCGTTTCTTCCTTCTTTTATGGCTGCATACTATTTCAGTGTTGGGAAGTGCCCTCATGCATTGAACAGTCCCCTTTTCATGGATACTAAGATTGTCTGCAGTCATTTACTACAGAAACACAGCACCATGAACGATTCTACTCATGCCTATTTTGCACGTGTGATATACAAGTCGAAAAATTCCTAGAAGTAGAATTCTTAGGTCAAAGGGCTTGTGCATTTGTAATTCTGATAGACATCATCTGATTTTCCTACGTAGAAGTTGTACTGATTGGGCTGGGCGCAGTGGCTCAAGTCTGTAATCCCAGCACTTTGGGAGGCTGAGGCGGGCAGATCACGAGGTCAGGAGATCGAGACCATCATGGCTAACATGGTGAAACCCCGTCTCCACTAAAAATACAAAAAATTAGCTGGGCATGGTGGTGGGCACCTGTAGTCCCAGCTACTTGGGAAGCTGAGGCAGGAGAATGGCGTGAACCCAGGAGGCGGGGAGGTGGAGTGGCCGATCTTGCAGTGAGCTGAGATCGACTCACTGTACTGCAGCCTGGGGACAGAGCGAGACTCCGTCTCAAAAAAAAAAAAAAAAAAAGTTGTACTGATTTATACTCCCACGGGCAGTGTGGGAATCTGCTGGTTTCCTCTTGCTTTCTGGAATATATTGTGTTACTGAACTCCTGGGTCCCTGATTGATGAACACAATGGCATCTCAGCGTAGTTTTAATTTGCATTTCTTTTTCTTTTTATGAGATAGAGTCTCGCTCTCTGGCCCAGGTTCAAGTGCAGTGTTGCAATCTCGGCTCACTGTAACCACTGCCTTCCAGGTTCAACCGATTCTGCTGCCTCAGCCTCCTGAGTAGCTGGGATTACCGGTGCTCACCACCATGCCCGACTAATTTTTGTATTTCTAGTAGAGACGGGGTTTCACTATGTTGGCCAGGCTTGTCTTGAACCCCTGACCTCAAGCGATCCACCTGCCTTGGCCTCCCAAAGTGTTGGGATTACAGGTGTGAGCCACCCTGCCTAGCTTAATTTGCATTTCTTATTATGACTAAGGGAGGACAGCTTTTCAGATGTTTAAAAGTCATTTGTATTTCCTTCCCTGTGAATTGCTGCTTCTTACCCTTTACCTGTTTGTTTTGTCTTTTATGTTAAGAGATAGTTTCATCCTGCTGCCCAGGCTTAGTGCCTTGGGATGATCATAGTTCACTGCAGCCTGGAACTCCTGGGCTTAAGTGATCCTCCTGTCTCAGCCTCCCGAGTAGCTGGGATTACAGGTGTGAGCCACGGTGGGGCCTGGTGATGATCTGCGATGCCTTCTTTTGATTTTTTTTTTTCTTACCAATTTCTTGATGCTATCTAGGTATTAGGGAAATTAACTGCTTGTTATATGAATTGCAAATAATTTTTCCTCCTTTGTTGTTGACTTTGCTTATGGTAGTGATTGCCATGCCAGAGTTTCTTTAAGTCAAACTTAGCTGTCTTTTGTTACCACTTTTTGATTTTGTTGCATACTTAGAAAGGCCTTTCCCATTCCAAGATACTTTTTTTTTTTTTAAATTTAAAATTTTAAGTCCCCGGATACAAGTACAGAACGTGTAGGTTTGTTACATGGGTGTATGTGTGCCATGGTGGTTTGCTGCACCTGTCAACCTGTCATCTAGGCTTTAAGCCCCATATGCACTAGCTATTTTCCTAATGATTCTTCAAAAATTCTCTGAATACTGGCACTTGGCTCAAGCTCACCAGATTTGGGGGTCCTGAGTGAGGCTGGGGGCAGGCCTTTACCTTTATTTTTAAATTTATTTAATTTATTTTACTTTTTAAAGTGATAGAGTCTTGTTCTGTCACCAAGGCTGGAGTGCAGTGGCACGACCATAACTCATGGCAGACTTGAACTCCTGGGCTCAAGTGAGCCTCCTGCTTCAGTTTCCCAAAGTATTGGGATTATAAGTGGGAGTCACTGTTCTTGGCCCTAGGCTTGTACCTTTCATCTTGTGGACTGTGGACATCAGCCATTATCACTCCCGGGTGCTGCGATGGGGTTTAATTTCCAGTGACTGGCCCAGAGCCTGCTCATGGGAAGATCTCAACGGAGGCTGTTGAAGGAACAGCATGCAACTGGCCGGCCCACACACATTCACACTGATGGGGGTGGGGGTTTGAGGAGGTGGGGGGTGTTGTGTGGATCAGCTTCAGGCACAGGTGTTTGGTTTCCTATGGGATGTGACCACATAACAGTAAGGCAAGAAGATGACTGCATTTATCTTCTGGGAATCACTTCTTCCTAATTGTTGCTCCCCACTATTGGCATTGGAGAAAGGCTGGCCCACAGGAGGCTGGATGAACTTTGTGTTAGCCAGGTAAGCAGAATGTCCATGCAGGTGGAAAGTAGGCAGTGAAGGTGTGCTCATCTGAGTGGGGAGGGGCATAGGTCTGGAACCTTGCTGGCGTGCCCTGGCCTTTGCCCCTTTGGCCCTGTGGCTACAAAGCTCCCCTACCAGGAGCAGCCCCCACTGGCGACTCTGGCCCTGGGGGCCTGTGAATGTTTGGTGGGGGCAGGGTGTGGAGAGGCCAAGTCCACACTGTATCTAACCCTAGACCATCTCAGGATTCAGCTTCCCCCAGCCCCTTCTCCTCAGGGTCTCAGCTCTGGCCCTCAGGGCAGCAGGAGGATGCGCTATCATCACCCCCCAGTCCCCCTGCCCTTCTGTGCCCCCCCCCCAACTTCAGAACTTTCCATGCCACAGCTTCGCCTAGTCCAGCCACAGGAGAAAAGAAAACGAGGGCAAATCACCACGATTTGGGGGTGGGAGGCAGCTGAGCCCTCGTTCTGCCCAGACAAGGCGTCCTGTACGTCTCCCACGGCTTATCACATCTGCCTGGGACTCAATGATAAGAGCCAGAGGGCCGAAGGTGACACCGGAGTCTCCAGCATGACCTTCGAGGGCCTCCAGGGGATTTCTCAAGCAGTAGGTGGCCGAAGACTGGCTCCCCTGGGGATGCATGTGAGTGTCTGGGAGTGTGTGCTCCCCAGGGTCCCGCGGAGGTCAGGGTCCTCTCCATTTAGGACAGCAAGGAGAGAAAGGCCTGGAGTGAGGCCCTGGGGCTGGGGGCTAAAGCAGCACAGAGTATCAGAAACAGGGTGCTGGGATGGTTACCGGGGACCGCCAGGGAAGACTTGGAGTCCAGCATGCGCCTAAGGGAGCTGCGGTGAGAGGCAGCAGGGGGCCTCCCCTGCCGGATGGGGCTTTCGGAAGAACCGAGGGTTCTTCGCTCTAGGGTCCCCTATTACAGCTGCGCGGCGCGGCGCGGCGGCCCGGGTAGGGTGCGGAGCCTCGCGTTCACCGGCTCTACCTGCGGGACCAGACCCCTGCAGCTCCCCAGCCAGCAGGGCCAGGGCACGCCCGGGAATCTGCGTGCTCCCCAGGACCCGGGGCGTTCGGGGCGCCGCGCCTTCCAGCGCCTGGGTTCCAGCCCGGGTCCCGGATACCGGCCCGGCGGGACCCAGGTTCCGAGTGCACCCTCCTGCCCTGCCGACTGCCCCAGCGCCGGGGCCAGGGGGCGCAGGGCCTCGCGCACGCCCGGCACGGACGCATCTTTGTCTTTCCTCTCTTCCCCGCGCGCGATCTAGCCGGGAATCGTTTTCCGGCTTCGGTGTGCCCGGCGGGGGTGAGGCGGAAGCGGCCGGGGCGGGGGCGCGGGCCCGGCAGCCACAGGCCGGTGCGGGATGCGCCCCGCAGCCGCGCCGCGTGCGCCCGGCAGAGGCGGCCCTGCGTGCCGTACGCTGCGTCCGGGGCGCGCCCGCCGCTATTCGGGAAGCTATTCAGCTTCCCGGGCTCATTAGCAGTCGCGGTGTGCGGCTCGGCGCGGGCTCACAAAGAGCTCGGCCTCGCGGACGGAGCCGGCGGCGGCGGGGCGGGGACGGCGGCGTACCGGGGCAGCCCAGCGCCCGGGCCAGGTAAGCTGGGGAACCTGGGCTGCCTGACTCGCCGGCGGCGGCAGCCTGGGGCCGCCCGGGGCGCCGCGAGAACCCGGACGCGTGGGGGGCGGCGCGGAGGTTGCGGCCCGAGCGCTCCCGAGCGCTGCCCTCCGGGCTTGGCGTGGCTGCGGGGCGGCCGCCGCTGGGATCTGGGGGTACAGCCCGGCGGCCCCACTCCTCTCTGACCGGCCCCTTCCCCCTCCCACGACGGGAGGGCGGGCGGGCGGGGCGGGGACCAGGCGGCGGCTCTCGCATCCCTGGCAGGGGGGGCACCGCGGCAAGGGGCCATCCGGCGGGGGCAAGAGGCGCTGTGTGGCGGTGCTGTCCGCTCGGGTTCTGCCGGGCTGGCCGGGCCGCTTGGCACCGGCATCAAGTCCCCGTGCCGGGCGGCAACTACTGAGTTTGGGGTCGCCTCTGGGTTCGCTGCCCTCGGAGAACCCAAGCCCAGATCTTCGCCCCCTTCCCTTTCCCTTTATAATAAGGCCCAGAGGGAAAAACTTATAAATTAAAAACCCCACACCCCGTTGCCCCTGGACTGCAGGTGCCCGGTTGGGGGCACGGCACGGACCTGCCCCTTGGCCTGGCCCCTTCCCCATGGCAGGCACTGCCTGGCAAGGCTGCTGGCGGGAGATCTGGCTCAGATGGTGAAGGAGAACATCGAGGCCCCCAGTTCCCAAGCAGGGCTCCATGGGCCCGGCGGCGGGCCTCGGTGTGCCCAGGCGGGGAGGGGGCGAACTTCCTTTCGCCAACGCCTGCCAAGGACCCCCGTGGAGAGCAGAGCCTTAGAGGAGCCTGCTGATCTTAACTTCGTATTTACTGGCAGAAGGAAGGCTTAATTTTTCAGATCTATTTAGATAGGACCTGGCAGGCACCAGACGTAAATCTGTGGTTGAGTGCAGTCAGCTCCTAAATGGGCATGTGGAAGGTGAGGCACCCCAAACTCGACATCTTGCGTCTGGCACTGTTTTTGGGCTAAACTGCCTCTGGCTTCTTCAACCTCCTGTGCCTCTTTCTGTTTTTGTTTGTTTCTGTTTTCCTTCCTCTTTGAGAAAGGACAGTGGTTTTAGAAATAATGACCGGAGAGCTTTGCAGATTGAAGTGGGACAAGTTTTCCTGAGGTGCATGTTGGCAGGTGCCAGGAGCCTGCAGGCGGCGTTTTCTCAGGCCTCTGGGTCAGGGTCCCTCCAGTGAGGTGAGGCAGGGGTTTCTCCCTTCCCAGAGGTGTGGCCACTATGCCGAGGACAGGATCTCGGTTTCCGAGTCTGGGGCATCCAGGATGCCCTGCCCTCTGCACTGATTCCTGGGTAACCATGGGAGCTGCTCCCCTCTGCAGCCTGGGCTGGAGGGAATCTCCTGAGCTTAGGATTTGCGGGACAGGAGGGCCAGGGTGACACGGACCTGGAACGCTGGGGCGCCGGGCAGTGTCCAGGGCGTGAGTGGATGAAGCTGGAGCTTGCGGCTGTGTGCTGGCAGCCCTCCCTCGGTGGGCTCTAGCAGCATTGGCAGGGGGGCCCTTGGAGTGAGCTCCATGGCTGGGCTGGGGGGTGATGGCACTAGCGATGGGGCACCGAGTCTTCCCTCTCATTTGTTAGGAAGTGCGGTTTGTGCTCCTCCCCACTGTCTCCTGGGCTCATGGGATTTGAGAAGCTGCAGGCTGAGTCCCACGGGGTGTGAGTGTGTGTGAGCAGGAGAGTTGGGCGGGCGCTGGAAGGAGGTGAAACTGGTGACCGTCAGCTCCTCATTCTCTTCCACCTTGCATGTTTTCGCTGACACCCCAGACCCAAGCTGTGGCCTGCTAGTTAACTTGTTTACATAATCTTCTTAAGTAGTTCTAACCTTTTTTTTTTTCCCCCAACAAAATGTTAGTTTTACAGGCATAATTGGTGGGGATGGATTGTGAAATGGAGGTGCATAAATACCTAGTTTGCCAACTGAGCTAAGAAATACTGGATAAAAATAAGAGATAATTGTAAACGACACTGATCACACCCCTGGAAGCCGAGAGGGGTGATAAGACACCTTGATTTTTCTAGACAAAACTGAGGAAGTCAGAGGAAAAACAGTTGATGGTGAGGTTGGCATCAATCTGGCCTTTGTTTGGATCGGGCCGCGGTAGCTGCGGTGAGGGCTGTTGTTGGGGAGAGTGGGGGCTGAGCCTGGCTGCAGAGGTCCCCTCCAGGCCTCAGCTCCTCTCCGGTGCTCCTCGCTGTCCTCTGCCACGCATACCTGCCCCGGTGACTCAACAGGTGTGGGCTTCAGGTGACACCATGGTCTGAAGTCTTGGAGAAACCTTTACTGTCCTGGGGAGAAGAGGACTGGCGATCGGTGGGCATCGAGACCCTGCACACATCACTGGGTGGCTTGACTGGCTTCGACAGAGATCACATGCCCTGCCTTGCAGCCTGGTCCTTAGAGAAACAGAGAGAGTGGAGAGAGCTCTGGCCTGGGCAGCGGGCCTGGCTGCACCACTCACAGGCTGTGTGCCCTCCCTGCACAGTCTCAGTTCCTCACCCTTGCCAGGTGGCCGTGAGGACTGGGGACGTGGAGGCACAGGTAGGGTGTAAGGTAGCCACTAACGACCAGGCAGGTCTCCCCAGTGTAGGTGAAGTTTGAGAAGGTTGCTCACCCGGAGGCAGCCTGTGTGCCCGGCGGGGGTTGGAGGTGCTCATTGTTCTCTTGGATGGTGGTTGGGCCGAGCGCCCACAGGGAGGCTTCTCTGGCTCCTTCCTTTCCCAGAGCTCCTCCCCACCCCCCTGCCGCCCACCGCCTGGGTTGGGTCCAGCTCGTGTCTCAGAGCAGCCTGCTGGTACAGGCTGAGTCAGCTGTCGTGGGCACCATCTTTTCTCGCCTCTCCTGAAGCCAATCCTCCCCTCTCTCCCTGTCCAGACACTCAGGGGAGCCCCAGGAGGTTGGTGACCTCAAGATCATGCAGCCAGGCTCTCTCTGTGGAACCCTACGTACTGGTGGGGTGCGATTGCTGTGTGCATTATGATTTCTGTGCTGGCTGTGAGGTTTCCCAGGTTGGGCTGTGGTGTACCCCTGACTCTGCAAGTTGGCCCTGGCCAGGTGTGTCACCATTGTCCAGGCCTTCAGTGTCTTTCCAGTGCTTCCTCCACATCCATGGTACTTGGCTGGATTTTCTCAAGTTCCCCTGCTTGCTCCCAAGAATGGCCCCTCCAGGCTGCCCTGGCTCCAGGCAGACAGGCTCCTTGCCCAGATCTGCCCTGGGTTGTCCCCACCCCATCCCCACCTGTCATCTTGGCCCATGTCCATCCTGGAGATCCCAACTGAATGTGGGCTCTTTCCCTCTTATCCCTTGGTCCTCAGATTTGCCAGGCCACTCTTGACTCCAGGCCTTTGCACTTGCTGTTCCCACCCCTTTTGCATGAGCCACCCCCAGATGCCCACCTGGCCGGCTTCCTCACTTACTGCCCGCTCCCTGACAGCCCTACATAAATTAGCGTTACTTTCCCTTCTCTTGTTAACCTTGCTTTGTGTTTCTCCTTGGTACTCACCAGTCAGTGTGTTATTTATATTCTTGTTTGTTTATTGTCAGTCTCTTACCACTCAAATGTAAAAGACTTTGTTCACCTCCGGATCCCCAGTAGCTAGAAAAGTGCCTGGCACACAGAGCCTTAGTGCTATCCTTGGATGAGCGAGTGAGTGAGACATGGGAGCATTAGTCTCCTTGCAGCACATGTCCGACTCCCTGCGCCTCCTTTCCGGGAGCCCCAGAGCTGGAACCTAGCTGTGTTCACGTTTGGATCCCCCTAGAATGTAGCACAGACCCTCACTCAGTGGGCGGTCAGGAAAGAGCTGCAGAATTGTACAGTGCAATGTCAGTTTCACATAGGCCAGAGGAGAACGTGGTTGGGAAGGTAACCAGCCCAAAGAGTGAGCTTTCTGATTCTGCACTAAGATTCGTTTTTGGATTTTCAGTTGTTTGGGTTCTCTGCACCCAGGCGGTCCCTGCTGCCAGAGTCAGCTCTGCACCTCCCTGCAGTCACCTCGGATGTGGATGCACTTTGGAAGGAGGCACCCCCACGCCCAGATTCCCTTTCGGCTCCATCTGGATCTTTCCAAACTTGTCTTATATTTAATGTCAGACTCTGTCCCAGGGCTCTCAGCCACTCTGCTTTCCCTTCCAGAAGCCTCTGCCTGGCTGTCTCCTGCCTATGTCCTGGTTGCAGGAGATGCTTTAGTTTGATGAGAAAGGGACTGGGAGGTTGGAAAAGAGGATGGAATTTGGAGTAACAAGAGCTCAGTTCCAGCCTGGCCCTGCCGCTAATCCCTGGGGCCCAGGGCCTGTCACCCGGCTTGAGAGTCTTCCTCAGCATCTGAAATACACGCATGAGGCCTCTTGCCTGCGGTTGTTTTGAGGCACAAACGTGATGTGATATTCAACCGATGCAAGATATTTTATGACAGCAAGGGCTCTGTGGTGTGGCCACGTAGCTTCGGGCCTGTGCGGCTTCTCTTACTGGGCACGTACAGGGCTAATTTTTAACACGTGCTGAGAGACTGATGGCTGGCATCGGAGAGTCATGGAAATGCCACAGATGACGTGGGCCCTTCACAGGGATGGGCAGAGGGTCTGGGAGCTTCCCCTCCAGGAAGATGGTTGACATGGTTGGTGGGACACTAAGGTGTTTTCCGTTTTGCACTTGAAGCCAACATGGATTCTTAGCACTTCTTGTCCCTGGAATCAACTGTGCAGAGAGACGCTTGGTTCTGAAATTCTCAGGCAAAGACAGTTCTGGGGAAACCCTAATTAGTAAATAGTGAGTCGGAGAACGCTATTGACATGTAGCATTTTCAGTTGAGATGTATATGTACAGTCATGCTTCACATGACAATGTTTTGGTTAACGATAGCATATATGACAGAGGTCCCATAAGATTATTACGGAGCTGAAAAATTCCTATTGCCTAGTGACATTGTCATAAAGTTGTAGTGCAGTTACTTTATTTTAAAAAAAT